TTTGGGGAAGGGGCGGGGAAAGGGCGGAGTTGGGGCGGGGGCAGAGGGGGGGAAGGGGCGGGGGCGGGTGGAAAGGGGGCGGGGCTAGGGCCCGTGGAGTGTCCTCTTTTTTTATTTTTTAAATATGGTAATCCTATGCAAAACCCCAGAAGCCTTTCCAGAAACAGCTGGGAGCATTCAGTGCCAAGTACTTAATGAGGGCAAGTCAGTTACCTTTGCATATATTTTGTGTGCAGGTAACTTCATAACTGCATCAATCTGCATACCACATTTCATTGCTTTCCGTGACTAATGTTTGAGAGCTGTACTTAAATTACAAGACTGTTTTGTATCCATTTTATACCCTAGATCCCAAAGCTGAGGACAGATGAAATAGGGGCAAAAAAAAGAAGCAATTTAGTAATTTGGACCCAATTTTTAAAATGCTCATTTTCAGAAATATGTCCATCCCTTTCAGAGATACTGATTTTTTTCTTTGTTTCCACTGTTGTCACCTATCTTTGAAGCTGTCTTTCAGGGAACTAAAGGAAATTTATTCTTTTGCCTAGTTTATTTTATTGAACTAGTAAAAACACTGTGGAAGATGGAGTTCCAATAATGATTATTCTTAATTTGTTTAATTTATTACTGCAGTACCAGATGTTGGTTACAAGTCATCTCTTATAATTCATGTGCCTCAGTTAAAAATTATGATCAAAATGTAGATATAACTTTCTTTTGGCCCTAATTCTGCACTATTAATGTTAATGGGAGCTGATCATTTACTTAAATGAGTGTAGGATCAAGCCTGGTTTCCCAGCATGAGGAGGGACAGATTAAAAAAAAACATTATTTAATAGTTAAATTTCATTATTTATTATTAGTAGTGCTGCAATAGCACTAGGTTCCCCAGTCAAGGCCCAGGACCACATTGTGCTAGGGTCTGTACAAATACGACCGTCCCTGTTGCAAAATATTTAAAATCTAAATAGCAGGGTAAGGCTGATTCTCTGCTGTCTTGCAATTTACGTAATCATTTACTCCAGTGTGAAGTGAGAGAGAAATGCTGTTGAATCAGAATTCTCCACCTATCTATATTGATGGCAGGAATTTATTTTCACTCTACACTGGTGTAAATGGGGTACAAGGCAGTGGAGAGAGAGAGAGAGGACTGGAAACAATTAGCTGTATTGCAAAGACCTCGAGATAGAATGGGGGCTTTTTGCAGGTTTGGTTGGACAATATACACACTTTCTTAACATATAACACAGAGAACACAGAATGGGCCACTCTCTTACCACTTCAAAAGTTATTTCTCCTCCCTTGGTATCCTGCTGTTAATTGATTTATCTTGTTAGGCTGACCTAACACTTGGTAAAGCAACCCACATCCTTTCATGTATTTATACCTGCTCTTGTATCTTTTACTTCATACATCTGATGAAGTGGGTTCTGGCCCATGGAAGCTTATGCCCAAATAAATTTGTTAGTCTCTAAGGTGCCACTCCTTGCTTTTTTGTTGTTGTTTTTTACAGAAGAGAATAGAGACATATTTTCCATTGCAAATTTTTCTGTAAAATTAATAGTCTACTTGGATTCTTTGACTTTATTTAAATTTAGTAATCAAATATTAATGATATTTCTAATTATTATGCATTTGTTTTAAAAATACTTTTTCTGTGGAGAATGCATATGATAATCCATTGGCTTCTAAAACAACTCTACACGTAGCTAACAAACCTACATATTCTACGTAATAGCCATAATGTTTTTTTGCACTGGGTTAACAAAGCAAACTCCTCTAGTCAAAAAAAAGCTTAGAAAGTGCTAGGCTTGGCAAATATATATTTGCCTTTTTGACTTGGATATTATTTGTTTTTGTCAAACTCTACCCTGAGCTCTTAATTATGTTTACTAGCCACAAGTGCATTTTTAGGTGATTCAGATGACCTTTAAAGGGCCTGCAGCAGATGGTGGAAAGTCTGTGTTCTGTGCAGTATTCTATTTTGTCTGTTAAATAAGTATCTAATTACTCCCAGTCTTATCTTATTTCAACAGTGTGTCACTAAATTACTTACATGGCTGTAACTGAAGTAATCCTTTGCCAATCTGATAAGCTTTAGCTTAACTTTTTGGGAAGTAACCTTGCACCTCATAATACATTTCTTTGTGCAGGTTAGAGCATTTTTCAGTACTTTCCATGCAGGTGAACCCTTGTCTTCATGCAACCCTACTGAAGTCAATGGGGGATCTGCTCAGGTTGCATCCACAGAGAGTTCACTGCAGGATCAGGGTCTTACTATATATTCAAAATATTCTGAGGTTTTACAGAATGACCAGTTCTTCAGCAGCAGGATTTGAAGGAGTTGAAGAAACACTATTCCCTACAAAGAAAACATTTTGGGATAGCTTACGAACACTGCTAGTCACTACTTCATAAAGTAAATGGAACTCCCTTGTTTGTTCATTTACTTTTTATCTGTCAAATATAAGTTGGATTGAATCCTTGCTGTATAATGTAATAGCAGGTCTTCAGTCTAGTAGCAATATTTTTCTCCATTTTTTTTCCTTCTCTGCTTTCACATCAGTTGTACTACTTTGGAAATGACCACCACAATATTTTAACCTCGTTTATTTCAAAGGAAATTAAATGAACACCATTTGGTGTCATTCAAACTACATCTTATTGTATGATGGCACCATCCTATCTTGGACACTTCTGAAATTATTTAAACCCCTCTATGTTCTGTTTACATCATGACATTGCATTACCATTCCATGATGTTATATCATCACAACTTCCTCATATGATGACATTCATAGTCTCTTCTTTCTCCACACCTGACTGCTGGGAAAAAAAGGCTGTCTTAGCTCTATTTACCTTTGTATAGGCTGTAAGTGCAGAGGGTGCTACACTCTTACATGATGAAATTCTAGCGGCTTTATTTCCCCTTTAACCTGTAGGGTAAACTCAGATGGTCCCACAAAACTGGCTGATTTGATCAGTGCTCTCCATGAAGTATGACAGGAGATATACTTTGCATTTATCCTTGTGTTTGACCAAAGTCCTCCATGTAGGAAGGAACAATCAGTGGCACACATACAAAATGGGAAATGACTGCCTAGGAAGGAGTACTGCGGAAAGGGATCTGGGGATCATAGTGGATGACAAGCTAAATATGAATCAAAAGGATATCACTGTTGGATGGGGGGGGGAAGCAAACATCATTCTGGGATATATTAGCAAAACTGTTGTAAGCAAGACACGAGAAGTAATTCTTCTGCTCTACTCTGTGCTGATTAGGCCTCAACTGAAGTATTGTGTCCAGTTCTGGGCACCACATTTCAGGAAATTGGAGAAAGTCCAGAAAAGAGCAATAAAAATGATTAAAGGTCTAGAAAACATGACCTGTGAGTGAA